TCTACCTTTCCCCTCCGCTGTCATGTCTTCTCCCCTTGCTCCATCAACTCCCCTGGTGCCTGCTGCCCCCCAACTCCTCACCCTCCTCTGCTGTCCTGACTCCTGCCCTTCTCACTGTCCTCAGCCTTTCTGAGACCTGCCCCCCCTCCACCAGCCCTTCTCTCCCCCTTGTGCCCACTCTTCCAGTAGCCCCACTCTGATCATGTGAGCTACCCCTCCTCATCCCCTCGTCTAACACCTCTCTCGCCTCTCTCCTCTGGTGCTGGGACTCCCCTGCAGGTGTCTGCCCTTCTGCTTCACCCCCAGAATCCGCTGGCACCTACACCTTCCCTTACCCCTGCACCCTCCTGGTACCTCCCCCTTCCCTCACTGCCCCTGCCCCCTTTGTCCTTTTTTCCCTGATGCCCATCTCCTCACCACCCTCTGCCCTCATTCCCCTCATGCCCCAGTGCCATCACACGACTTGCTCCAACCCCACCTTCATCATGCCTACCCCTTCTGTCAAGCCTTCTTCCAGCACCTCCCCCTCCAATCCCCAATGCCCTTACCCTCTCCTCTTCCAGCATCACCCTGTCCCCCTTCCCATTGACACCTCTCCTCCTGCCCTTTTCCTCATTGTCTCCACTTCCCCCCTAGCATTTGTGTCTCCTCTACCCTGTCCCTTTGGTGCCGTCCCCCTTCTTCCCCCTCTTCCCTCCCCCTCCATACAAGCCCCTTCCACCCCTTCCCCTTTCTTCCTCCTCCACCCTCCCGCACCGCAAAAGCCCCTTCCTCTCCCACCCCTTCCTTACCTTCAGCTTCTGCCTTACAGCTTGCAGGACTGGAGTCAGATCCAGCCCAAGCTGCAGGACCGGGGAGGGGCACCCCCGGGGCGCTGCATGGTGATGCAGGTCCAGGCAGGGGCGCCCCCGGGGCACTGCGCGGTACTGTAGGGTGGGGCCCGGGCTGCAAAAATGGCTCCGGCCACCGTCTGTAGTCGGGCCCCAGCTGCTTTTGGAGCTGGGCCGCTGGGTTTTAAAGTTCCCGGCGTTTCCCCTCTCACCTGTTGCGCAGCGTTTGAGGACGCCCCACATGCACTCTCTCTGCCCCACAGTGTCCAGTAGATGGCTGTGGGGAATTTAAAGTGAGGGGCTGTGGTGCTCCATCACAAATCCCCCTCTTCCTCCAGCAGCTGCTGGCTGGCCCCAGACATTAGGGTATGCCTGGGCACACCCGGCACACCCCGTGTGCACGCCTATGGGCATATGCCGCTCAAGCATCTTCACATTTAACCAGTTAATCAATTACACAGGATTTTACAACCCTGGCAAGTAATATTTCCACAGACCACAGTAAAAGTTTTCTGGTCACAGCAGGAAAGCTTTGAGTTTGAAGATAGAATATTGTATAGGAAATGGGGAAAAAACAATAGGTAATGGTTACAGGAATTAACTGGTCGTGATAGATACATTGAAAAAGAAGGTTCTGAAATGTCATAATTTTAAAATTGTTGGACATTTTGAGGTTGCAAAAACCACAGTCAAGCTAAGAGAAATTTTCTGTTGGATGAAATACAGAATGTAGACAACTGACACAAGAAATTTGATCTTTGTGTTGCACAGAAGAGTCCCCCTACAACAGGGAGAGCCTCTTCTCAGCAGAATCTTGTGGGGGCACTACTGCTCTCAATGTTCTTGGCTCACTGCCTGAAATAGTCTGGCAATCAATATTTGCTTATAACTATGTACACAAAATGACCTGAAGTTTACCCAATACAAAAACAAAATGCTGTGATAGTAGCAGAGGTTCTTGTGAATTAATTTTTCAGCAAATTTGGGGCCTGGGTGAGTTAAACATAGCTCAAGAGAAAAAGTTTGAATCCAAAGTGTTTCAGTGTTTCAGAATTCTATAATTCTATGGCTCCACAAAACTCATATAACCCCACAATCTGATCTTTGGCAACTCAAAGCTACCTACTAGAGAATAATCTTTATATAGATTTTGTTGTGCGTGAGACTGTAAGTAAATTGTTCATGGGTTTCTTGTTTTTAAACTGCACTGCTAAGTGTTTTTACTTATTTAACAATTTTGTGGCAATTTAATTTTCCTGTCAAACTAGAACATACCTATTGTCCTATAAAGGACAAAAATTAAAACTATACGACGTGTAATATCCCTTTAATCACTAATGATCCTCACCACATTTAAATATGAAAACCTAATTTTAGTGGGAATAGCCAATCAATAGAAAAATTATTCATGGAATGGGAAATTGTAGTTGATAATGAATGGGACAATATTAAATGTTGCTAAATACAATTTCTTAAGTGGTATTAGTTAAATCTACATTGGTTTTAAATCTGGAATTGAAGCACTATATTTAGTGAACATGTTACCAAATACTACCTTTGTTGCTTGTAATAGTCAACTATAATACGGCATAAATAGGGAACTGTTTTTGGCAGATGGGGGTGACTACTGGTAAAATGGCTTATTTAAGTCATTATTGTCGATTGAATATTTACACTTTTGTTTTAAAATCTTTAGAGTGCCTAGACATCATGATATTGGATACAAAATATATCAGTACTGAAATACAAACTCTAACCCACAACTGAAAAAGCTTTTTTGTGTGAGCAAGCATTATTCCTCTATACAATTCCACTGAAATCAGCAGGACTGCTCACATGAATAAGGAATGGATGTGTGAGTAAAGATGATAAGACTGGGTCTTATGAGATAAAGTCAAATTTATTTTACTATTTAAATTTTTTTTGCAGCATCAACATATATGGTAGCATAACATCATGAAACCTGTTTACGAGGAGTAACCTACAATGATGAACTAAAAATTATTATTTCTACCTCTCCATGTAATTATATAGCACCGTATCCATATTTAGCGGTATAGTTAGTAGTACATATGTTTCAAAGAGTTAAACTCTATATTGTGATACTTTTGCAGAGACAGCATCCTACAAATAAAATATGTCTGACATTTCACTCACCATTACTCATTTCTGCTTTGAACTTTTACTGGGGTTTACCGCCAATAGTTAAAATCTATCATATCTTTCCAAAAAGGGGGGGGGGGGAGAGAGAGAGAGAGAGAGAGCATGTGACCAAATATAACATAATTCAAACTGAGTAAGGCTAAATTTTTCCCTCAGACACACTTAGGCTATGTCTACACAGTAGTGTTATTTCAGAATAACTGACGTAGAGTTTGTCTACGCTGCAAACCATTATTTCAAAATAATGGAGAGCTGGAGGACTTCTTACTACAACTTCTGGTAACCCTCATTTTATGAGCAGTAAGGGAAGTCAAAGGAAGGGAAGTCTTGAAATGCATCCCAGGATACTCAAGGAGCTGATAGAGGAGGTATCTGAGCCTTTAGCTATGATCTTTGAAAAATCATGGCAGACAGGGGAGATTCCAGAAGACTGGAAAAGGGCAAATATTGTGCCCATCTATAAAAAGGGGAATAAGAACAACCCAGGAAATTATAGACCGGTCAGTTTAACGTCTGTCCCAGGGAAGATAATGGAGCAGGTAATTAAGGAAATCGTATGCAAACACTTGGAAAGTAATAAAGTGATAGGGAATAGCCAGCATGGGTTTGTGAAGAACAAGTCATGCCAAACTAATCTGATAGCTTTCTTTGAAAAGATAACGAGCCTTGTGGATAAGGGAGAAGCGGTGGATGTCATATACCTAGACTTTAGTAAGGCATTTGATACGGTCTCGCATGATATTCTTATTGATAAACTAGGCAAATATAACTTAGATAGGGCCACGATAAGGTGGGTGCATAATTGGCTGGATAACCGTAGTCAGAGAGTTGTTGTTAACGGTTCTAAATCCTGCTGGAAAGGGATAACAAGTGGAGTTCCTCAAGGGTCTGTTTTGGGACCCGTACTATTCAATATCTTCATCAATGATGTAGATATTGGGATAGAGAGTACTCTTATTAAGTTTGCAGATGATACCAAACTGGGTGGGGTTGCAACTTCTTTGGAGGATAGGGACATAATTCAAAATGACCTTAGCAAGTTAGAGAAATGGTCAGAGGTAAACAGGATGAGGTTTAATAAGGAGAAATGCAGAGTGCTCCACTTAGGAAGGAACAATCAGTTCCATACATACAAGATGGGAAGCGACTGTCTAGGAAGGAGCATGGCGGAAAGGGATCTAGGGGTCATAGTGGACCACAAGTTGAATATGAGTCAACAGTGTGATGCTGTTGCAAAAAAAGCAAATATGATTCTAGGTTGTATCAACAGGTGTGTTGTAAGCAAAACTCGTGAAGTCATTCTGCCGCTCTATTCTGCACTAGTTAGGCCTCAGCTGGAGTACTGTGTCCAGTTCTGGGCGCCACATTTCAAGAAAGATGTGGAGAAATTGGAAAGGGTACAGAGAAGAGCGACAAGAATGATTAAAGGTTTAGAGAACATGACCTATGAAGCCAGGCTTCATGAACTGGGCTTGTTTAGTTTGGAAAAAAGAAGATTAAGGGGGGACATGATAGCGGTTTTCAAATATCTAAAAGGGTGTCACAAGGAGGAAGGCGAAAATTTGTTCCTCTTGGTTTCTGAGGACAGGACAAGGAGTAATGGGCTTAAAGTGCAGCAGGGGAGGTTTAGATTGGACATTAGGAAAAAATTCCTAACTGTCAGGGTGGTCAAATATTGGAATAAATTGCCAAGGGAGGTGGTGGAATCTCCCTCTCTGGAGATATTTAAGAACAGGTTAGATAGACATCTGTCAGGGATGGTGTAGACGGAGCTTGATCCTGCCTTGAGGGCGGGGGGCTGGACTCGATGACCTCTCGAGGTCCCTTCCAGTCCTATTATTCTATGATTCTATGATTCCTGAAGTGTAGACAGCACCAAAAGAAGAGTTAAGCTATTTCGACTTAGCTATGCATTTGATATAGCTTAATTCGACTTCAGCCCTGCTATGTAGACATACCCTTAGTTCCAGCTACTTCAGTGAGAACCAGGATCTTTAGGGAACCTACCTGATTTTTTTGCTAACATTAATGTTACTTCCTTCCTGGGGTCTTTGCAGAAATTTTCCTCTGTTATGTGGAGACCTCTGTACATCAGATAAAATAAGAAATTTTGGTTTTCCTTTTCCAGAAGGATTGCAATAAACAGGAACAATTGGATGGCCTGTTCCAAAGTCATCTGCAGGATACAAAAAATTAAGTAGTAATTTAATATTTCAAGTCGAAGTATGCCTACATTATGCTAGTTATAATATGGCTTGCAAATTTTAATATTTTTGTGATGTACAAATAATAAACTCAAGCTTTAAAGTTATGACAAACTTGATAACAACTGAAAATGGAAAACAGCATATGGATAGCATTGTCTATGAAAAATACCACAAACACATGCATGTTATGTGATAAAATAATTAACAGGACTATTAGCGCAATATTTTTGGAAAACGCAGGAAACTTACCTCTTTTGCTAATAACAATATTTATTAGTATTGTATATACTAAAGGTTGCAAAATTCTTAGTGCAAGCACAAAATCTAATCTTCTATATTTTAGAATTAATAACAATCAAAGGAACTACAGTAAAACTCCATTAGTCCGGCATCCAATGCTCTGGGACTCCTGATGGTACGGCACCATCAGGAACCCGGAAGCGCTGGGGCAGCCGGACAGGCTTCCCCCATTCAGCTGCTGCTGAAACTGACCAGCA